CAATCCTGGAGACTGGGAAGTCCAAGGTCAAGGCACACACAGATTCAGTGTCTGTTGAGAGCCCACGTCCTGGTTCATAGATGACTGTGTCCTCACATGGCCAAAGAAGGGACAAGGGAACCTCTTGGGGTCTCTTTTATAAGGACACTAATCCTATTCATGAATGCTCTGCCTCATGACCTAATCACCTCCCAAAGGCCACACCTCCAGATACCACCATGCTGGCGATTAGGTTTCAACAGATGAAATGGGGGGAGAAGGGGATACCCACTTTCAGTTTATAGCAAGGTGTGTGTGAGGATGGAGAAAAGTTGTGGGGGATAGGTTTCAGAGAAGGAATAACAAAGTCTGATGAAAAAGAACAAAATTCAAGATCTCTCCCTCATCGTATCCTGACATCAGAGATCTTCCCATAGGACTTCCAACATACAGATTTTGCCATGGATATTTTTGAAGTGTATACTTTCAACTTTAATACTGAATTATAGTTAAATTTCTTGGTAGCTGAGGATGGAGAGAGCAGGAGGAAAACTATAGTCTATCGGAAAAGTATTACATTTGTTTCAGGCCAAATTTGGGACATAGCTGATTGATTGCATGTGTTGTCTATACTTTAGGGAATATCAGGATTCTCTGCATATATACAATACATGAGTACTCATTTTATTCATTTATGCATCTGTTCAGTACTTATCCCATTGTGAATAATAGGTGTTCAAAAAGCAACTCCGTGAATGCATGCTCTTTGTTATATTTGTCATTTACTTGATATTGATTAGTTGATCATGACTATAACCTCAATTATGTTGCTGAAAAGATGGAGTGGTATAATGGAAGGGGCTCAAACTCTATAGAAAGAACCTAGTGGTTAACATGAAACAAGAGAGTTTTTTTTTTTTTAAGTTAATTTATTTAAGTAATCTCTACACCCAGTGTGGGGCTCAAACTCACATGACCCTGAGATCAAGAGCCACACACTCCTCCAACTGAGCCAGCCTAGCGCCCCAACAAGAGAGCTTTTTAAAACTGTGTAGCACAGTGCTGGGTGCATAATAAATGAAAAGATGAAATTTGGGTCCCTTTAGTTTTAGTTTTAAAGAAAAACATGATTGTTGAAAGCCAAAGTATAAAAACTTTGTAGAGAAGTTCTATAGACAAACTGATCACTAGTATCTACAAATAATCCCAAACTAAAATCGGTAAGAGAAAGAGAACGGTTTACCTGGTTTTTTACCCTAGACAAGTTACTTAGCTTCCTTTTAAGCCTTAGTTTACGTGTTTGTAAAAATAGGAATAATAATACTTAAAGGGACTTTGTAACTATTAAATAAGAAAATATATATAAAATGCTTAGCACAAAATAAATACCCAATGAATAGAAGCTATTTACATTAAATGCAATAATATGGAATGGCTAATAGTAATCAGAAAGGTTATTAAAATATGGCCCTAAAAATAAGAACTTGGGAAGATGTCTAGTCTAAAACTGGACTTATTTTGACAATGATCTGTAGATATTTCTACTGCAGCATGTTTTTTTTAAAGTATGTATTTTTGTCAATCACCCTCTCCTCCAGATGACACAAAATATTTTTATTTCTTTAAAGATTTATTTATTTATTTTAGAGAGAGAGAGCACATGTGAGTCAGGGGAGGGGCAGAGGGAGAGGGAGAGAATCTCCAGCAGACTCCCCACTGAGCGTGGAGCAGGTGTGGGGTTGGATCTCACGACCCTGAAATCATGACCTGAGCCGAAATCAAGAGTTGGACGCTTAACCAACTGAGCCACTCAGGCACCCTGGCACAAAATATTTTAAATACTGAAGTAGATTTTAGAAATGGCTCAGGAAAGGACACTTTGTTATCTTTCTGAAGTTACTATAATAATACCCATAAACCCCTCGAGCCAGCAATGTTCTCATATCTGAGGAAATTGCTTTAGTGAGTCATGTGCAAATTCTCAACAGTAAGCTGCACAGAAATTTTGATCAATATATTTTATGGGAAAAATTACACCTTGGGATAATGATTCTTTTTCCTCATGGATATACAATTTGCAACCAAATTTCAGACCATTCCTTGGAATTATACAATTGCTATGAATCAGTTAAATGAGCAGAGATGAAGTAAGTGGAGTTTTCTTTTTTTTTAAATTTGCCTTAAATCTTTTTGGCTTTTCAAATAAATACATAAGTGAAATATAAGAGTTAGGGAAAATATTTTAAGGTTTTAGAAATTATTATATATTCTTATACATTATGGTTTGATAGGTTTAATTCACTTACATGAGCCTATGAGTTTCATACGTTGGCTAAGATGTAAGAATAAGACCCAGTTCTCACTGCCAAGGAGCCTATATAAAGAAATGAAAATAATTATACAAATAATATCTTTAGAAAAAATCAAATGAGATGTACAAGTGCTATGTGTGAAGTATAAAGCTTTATGCGCTAAGGGATGAGGGATGCTGCATTGAAGAGGTGCATTTGACCTGGGTTTGGGGGCTCAGAAGAATTTGTATTCTAGAAATGGGCATTCCACTTGTCAGAAAAGGCATAAGCAAAGTCTCAGGGAGAAGAAAATATACGGCAGATTAAGGGAACAAAAAATGTAACCAGTTTTGGCTGAAGCAAAGGATACTGGGAATCATATGTAATAAATCATAATGGTAAGCTAAGGCCCTGTATGAAGGCCTTGGGAGTTGTAAGCATTGAATCATACTGAGTGATAATCCTGAGGAAAAAATTATTCATGTGAATAGTGGTGGGGACGGTAAACAGGTCGAGAACATCTGCTGTAGTCAATGGAAAATAGTTGCTTTCCTCAGCAGAAAAGTTTGGATTTTTTTCTAAACAGAGGATTGACATGACCAGGGAGTTAGACGACTAGTAGCTTACTAGCCAAGAGGAAATGATGGCCAGTATCTATGTAAACATGCAAGTCAAATATTTGAACTGAACTTCTGCCCCTCTCTCAACCCATGCTAAAATGACAGTAAAGAGATTTTAGTTTTTAAACCTAAAATGACAAAGAGAGTGAAAAGGAGCCAACAGCAAAAATTTGGGAGCTGCAACATTGATGGATGAACAAAAACTTAATTGGCAGACCTGAGGAATATGAAGAGCTGAAAAGTAACGCAAGTTACAGTCCAGAGTGCTCAATGGCTAGGGAGTTGGTGGCACCAGTCGCTTCTGGGAGTGTGGGTGAATTGGGGGCTATAAACCAAATAATTAACTGAAAGTTTATTTAAGTAGAGGATGGTCCTACAGGGGAGCAAAATTTTACTTCTATGCATCTTAGGTTTTCAGCTGGGACTCTTTACCAAAAAGAGAGATTAACGAGAGAAAACAGTTTATTAACGTGGGCTATACATATCACGTGAGAGAAACCTAAACCAAAAGTAAATAATCCAAAATGGTGGCTTGGAATTCCAGCCAATATAGCATCTTCAACAAAGAACAATACATTTGTAAAGAAATGACATAACAAAAAAAGGCAGTTTTAGACTTCCAAGGGCAGCAAACTGGGAAGGTACGGGAGGAAACTCATGGAATCAAGTTTGTTTGCAGATTCCTTTAGTGCCATCTCTGGGCTGCTAAATGTCTGTCTCTGGTAAAAGGAGAATTTGTATCCTGCCTCCAGGTAGAAAAAGGGGAGCTTTCCCTGGGTTTTCTGCTTCTTAATTGCCTTCAGCTCAAAATAATTTTTATGTCAAAGGGGCATATTTTGGGGTGACATATTCTGGTTTCCTTCATCCCCTCTCTTCTTTCTTCTATTGCATAAAGCCAAGACAATCCCCTCTTTTAACTAGGCAGGAGACCAGAGATTTATTCTCGGGGGATTATAAAATAGAGGATTTTAGGAATGGGGAATATCAAATAGGTTAAAGGGCCAGCCAAATCCAATCTGACTCTTTGCGATTACCCTATAGTCAAGCTCCTCATTGACAGCTCCACACGTTCATTCGAGGCTTCCAAACAGCCCATTAGTGAGCCATTCCGAAATGTAACCTATGACATGGAAGATGGAGACCAAAACAAAAACTTAGAGAATCTGACTATGAGGGAAAAGAAAACATCAAAGAAATCAATCATTAATATCCCCCAAGAGACGAAAGAAGAGATTACATCCATGAAACAGGATCAGGTGCTGTGAAATGGGACAGAGAACAAAGAAGAATTATTAAAAATTAAAAATAGGAGATACCAGAAATGAAAAAGAAAAAAATCCAAAACCTCTAAGCATGGTAATCAAAAGTTAAGCAAACCTCCTAGAATGCAGAGGAAAGGGGAATGTTCCAAGCAGTTCAACATCCAAATATTAGGAAATTTAGAAAGAACAAACAGAGAAAGTGAAGAGGAATATTTTTCAATTATATATATTATATATATATTTCAATTAAATATATGATATCAATTAATTATATATATATTATGTATAGTATATATCATCTATGTAATACACATCTATTATATTATATATATATAATAAATATATAATGTGCATATATATGTGTGTATATATAGAAAACAATGTCTTCTAGTCTCTGGTGTGGCTATGATCTGTGACATTTTTATTTTTTGATCCTTTGTATGACTCCCCTTCTCCTCCTCCTACTATTTATTTTTCTATGTCTCCGGAAGTTTGTTGCATAGACGACAAAATATGCCCCTTTGTTTGTTGGATCTTTCCTTTGTCTCCAGTGTCCTGAAATTTCGTAATGACGTGCTTCAAGGGGTGTGTGTCTTCAACCATTTTGCTGAGCACTCTACTCGGAGAGCCCTTTCCATGTGGAAACTTAATGTTCTTTAATAGTGAGATTTATACATTCATTATGTGAGATTTATACGTACAATATTTATACATACATAAAGTATGTGTAAATCTCACCACTGAAGGACATAACTTTACTAACCTAGAATTCTATGCCCATGCAGGCAAACGTGAGGGTAGAATTTTACAAGTCTTAAAACATGTACCTTCTCTGCACTGTTTCTCAGGGTGCTACATCAGCAAGATGAGAAGTTATAGCTAGAAAAAAGAAGACACGGGGTCTCCAGGAAACAGAGCTCCAATCCAAGTGTTGGAAGACAGGATTCATCAGGGTGATGGTGGAGGGGGTTTGGCCTGGGTTCGGGCAGGGGTAGGGTGCGTCTGAAGTTCAGTGAGAGGTATGTGACTACAATGAAACTGAAAGCACACCTGAGCTGTCTGAGCGTATTGAGAAGATGCTGACACCATAGGGGAGGATTCGTGGTTGAATTCATAATTGAAAACTCAGCAAATGACACTCCAGAGCAAACAAACTGTTCATTAAGGAAGGGAAAGACACATTATGCTGCATGAGTCAATAAAAGCGTTTACTTGGTCATAACAAAACACTGACCCAACCAAAATCACAGTGTATTTATATTTGAATGATGAAGAGTGCAGAGGGAGTAGGAGCTGGGGAGAAAGAGAGCAAATCATCTTCTGTTGAGAGATATTAGTGGCCAATGCCTAAACATTAAAAACTCAAGCAGTAGCCGTATACACATGTTGCTTAGAAGTAAGGACGTACCAGATGAAAGTATCATCTAAAAGAGCAGAGAAAGGAAGTGGGAGTCTAAAATTAGATGAGAGAGTGAGGAGGGGCAGGAACAGTGAAGAAAGGAGAGTTAGGACTAGGTGAGAGAGATGGGTTAAGTTAAATCTATGGGCCTGGGCAACTGGCTGGATAAGAGAGGGCTGGAAAAGGATGACAGGGGGCCCAGGCAGGGTAACTGTGAAGTTGCTAACAGAATTCAGAGAAGAGAATTCCAGAGAAGACATGGGTTATAGTAGGGGCAGATAAAGGAAGACAGCGGAATATGGTAGAAATACAATGGCTCAGGAGTATGAAGATCTTAATTCTGCCGCTTTGTCTATGTGGCCTTGGACAGACCACATAACCTCTGTGGGTTGCAGTATCCTTACTACCAAGTGAGAGAGGCAGTAGAGCATAGTGGTGAGGAACCCACTCTCTGGAACTGGATTGCCCACGTTCAAATACCACTAAACCTCATGCTCCCACCCCAGTTACTAGCCATGTGGTTCGGCTCATTTACCTAACTTCTGTGTGCCTCATTTTCCTCATCTGTAAATGGAGATAATAATATCCACATTATATATGTTTGGAGAATTAAATGGGTTAATAAATGAAGCACTTAGGGCAAAATCCTATGTACAAACTTGGTGTTTTTATTTTAGGTAAACTCTAATGTCCATTACACTTCTAAGCCTTTTGTGAATACATGTTACGACATGTTGTATTTGAGATTCCAATGGAATATTCAGGGGAAAGAATAGGACAAGCAGTTAGAAATGCACTTCTGGAGACTGTGAGGGGAATGAGGATGATAAAGATAGGCAAGTTCTTTGGCTAAGGTGATTGGTGATTGGTGAAACTGAGAGTGAATGAGATTGTTTAAGGATTGAAGGGAAAAAACTGATAATATAAAACAAAATACTGATTGAACATAAATTATAAATGGACTACATTTGACAAATAGGAAAGAGGCTGTGCAGACTTTCCCTAAGTGCTCACCAGATGCCATAAACAGTACGGCAAGAACTTGAGGCTTGGACCTGAACAGATCGGGGTTTGAGTCTTGATTCTCAAGCCATGTGAGTTCGTGACAGTTATCCTCCCTAAACCTACTCTACTGGATTTCAGCTGGGAAACTCACAGGAGTTTTGTATGAATTAAATTACATAAAATAAGCAATGTGCCCAACACAGTGCATATCACAGAATAAGCATTCAAATCCTCTACACACATAATGGAATTATTTAGGTGCATATACCCAGGATACCTCTGTGTGCTTGCCATTCTGGAAGTGGAGCTGTTGCATTCCCTCTGCCAATCCCTATGTTTCTTCTCCCATCAATCAGGTCCTCATCTCTCTTAGAGTCCTGTGCAGCTATAACTTTCTAATAAGTGTCCTTAATCTAAATAAGGCAAACTACTGAGCTAGAGCCATGGCTAGAGCCATGACCATGTGCAACACAACATCTCTAAAGTAGGCATAGTATTTTGCATCTGCATCCTGAGTTAATGCCTGATGCTGTCATTGCACTCAAGATCATGATTAGATTTGAGAGTCCTCTGGTTTGATGTAACGAAGGAAATTCAAATCCTGGAAAATGATAAGCTGACCTGAAAGTTATATCCAGTAACGAAGAGTGAAGCAAACAATCAGGTTTGATGGGCAGGATATGAATACACTAGAGGTTGTTTGCAAAAGTAAAAGTAAAAGTGGGAGTTCAATACGTGTTTGTTTTATTGAATGCTCAATATCTCTATGATCCAAAGCACTGGTCTGTGTGCTTGAGGAAAGCAGAAAAAATTTGAAAATGACAACAAAATACAAACAAATAGAACACAATCCTTCGGATAGATTGACACAGGATAACTAACCATAAGTTAGGATCTGATAGTATAGATTTATGCTAATTGTTATGGCGTATTCATAGTCTCATCATAACCAACATTTTAGCCTTTCCTTCCTATTTGGGTATTCTTCATGCTTCTTCAAAAAATGTTATCATATTTTGTCATTTATAAAATGTATATGCAAGAAATCGAACACAACTCACAGAATATCTGTTACACCCTCCAAAGTGTGTAATCAGAACCTTGGGCTTTGAAATTATGTCTTGCTGAAGTGGAAAGAAAAAAAACCAGAAAATTCTTCACATCCTATAAGATATATTACATTAAATAGGTCCATGTGAGAGCAAGAGAGCCAGAAAAGGGAGATGCTTCAAGTGGTTCCATTGCCCATGAAAAGTGTTGTACAAGGCTCTTTTCCAGTGAACCATAGTGTAATTCCAACATGTGAATTTATGCTCTATTTTATGCTCTAGACTTAATGCTACTGGCAATGAATCAGCTGGTTCTAGGTAAACTGATCAGGGTTTAACCAATACTCAGCACTCATTAATGATTCTTGAGATTTTACATGGCTTAGCCCAAGCTAGTCAATAGGATCAGAGTGGCCTCTAGTCATAGGCAATATTGTGGTTCTTCTGAAGAGTTTCTCACAGCAAGGAATGAATTGCTTAGATCCAGCAAAACACATGCAGCGTGGGAAGGCAGCGTTGGCTTCAAAGCTCTGAGAATTTGTGTGTTGTGTGTCTTTGGCTAATATTAAAGCATCAATTCCCTCCTCTGGAAAATGAGGATAATAATACTTTGCAGGGTTATTGTGGACACTACATGATTAAACATAAAACATGTGACCAACTCAGGGTCTGGCATATATTTAGAACTCAATAAATTTTAGCTGTTTTGTGTATTTCTCTGAATGGGAAAAAGAAAACACTCCTAGACAAATGACTACAAAACCCATCTTTGTGTAGCTGAAGGTAGAGAGGAGCTTACCCTCACAGTCACATAAGCCCCTCGTTCCATTTCGCTATGGCCAGAGAGGTGAGCATCTGTTGGCCTGGCCAGCTTGGAACTCTACAGCCATTTTTAGTGGGAGAAAGCTAAGAAAGGCAGTCTTGGTAAAATGCCAGCCACTCTTGGTTGCTCAATTGATATTAATTAATCCTCCCTGGCAGCATTTTGGCAACAGACCTTGACTTGTGTGACCTTTCATGCTGGATCGAATCATTCTCTGGTGTTCCCTCTCCTCAGCCAAGTCCTTTAGAACCTTCTTAGGCTTTTGGCAGAATTCCACGAGCACTCCAGTTTCCTGAGAAGTCTGAAGTTGGCACCTTAAATGTGTTATTGCTAAATAAGTGGAATGTGAGACATTACATATCCAATTTTGGTGATGGAAGATACCCAAATAATTGTCATAAATATACAAAAATTCCCACTCTGTGCTCTGTGGAGGCTCAGGAGGGTGGATTCAGGAAATAGTCTCCCACCTCCTACCTCTGATCGTTCACAAGGCCTGTGGTTCTTCAGTCGGTCCAAAATAATAACTATTATCACCCATGACAAGGGGTATTGCTTTCAAAACAACTGCTTCTCTCCGAGGATAAGCACCTTCAATTTCGTGCCTTGAGTTGCATGGGCTGTACATTCGTTTTGAGTTTCCTCTCCCTTTTTCTCCTGCTGTTTATGAAAGGTTTCTTATGATGTGATTTTATTCTGTATTTGAGATGAAGGCAGCGGGAGACACGACGCTGACACTTCTAGTCCCACGTAGGCCTCTTTCTGCCCGTGAATGATCATGCCCAGGCCCCGAGGGTGGCAAAGGAGGAGCATGCAGAGTTCTTATTATCTTTTGCATCCCTATGACCGACCGCATTTTCTTAGACAATGTGTTTAATGCAAATGAAAAAAATCTATGGTGAAGATGATTCTCAAGAACTTGGTGGTAATAGTTATTATTTTGTAGTTGGAGTTGCTGTTACTGCTGTCAGTGTTTCTTTCCTGAAACTACAGGGCACTTGTCAGGTGTGTTGAAATTGTCAGTTTACTTTTCTCTCTCCTCTACCTTCCTTTAAGGTTTTTTTCATTGCATCCCAAGCATCTGGGACCATGATAGGTACAGAGTAAGGTATTCAATAAATATTTGCTGAAGGAGTGAATGATGAGGTCCCAAGGTGAGCAGTGAGACACCAATGATAGAAATGTGGCTAAAACTTTAGACTTCATCTGATGAAAATTAGTATTATTTTTTGCAAATGATTTCACTACCTCAAACCTGCTCTTGGTTGACTCCAACTTATCCTTCAGAGAAACTGAGTTTCTCAGGGAAGTCTTTCAGGCTCCTTATCTTTTAAGCTTTGTTAAGTGCAGAGACATAGTTATTTTGTTGTTCTGGCCCAACATTCTCATTCGTAGCACTGAGCGGAGAGCCTGACATTTATAACTCAGCAAATATTCGGTGAAAAACTACTCTGTGCTCTGACTACTCCTCTTCTCTCTACATATTATCCAATTGTCTAGGCTCTCATCATGATTCCTTTAGATTACTTCACTGATCTTAGTGCTGGACTTCCTTCATCTCCCCCCTCCTCACTTGTGTTTTGGCTTTGGGCACAGCTGCCAAAATAATTTTCACCAAGCAAGGATGCTCAGGCCATAAACTTTCTGTCCTTAATTGCTTTCAAATTACTTCTTTTTGTTCACTTGTAAATAGGGACTTTAAGTTTTATATCAGTTGCTCTCCATCATCTTTTGAAATCTCATTTCTCCATAGAAGTACTTTGTATTACTCAGCTGTCTTTGCTTTGTCTTTATGTTTATTTATTTTTTAAAAAAGATTTTATTTATTTATTTGAGATAGAGAGAGAGAGCAGGAGCAGGGGGAGGGAGGAGGAGCAGAGGGAGAAGGAGAAGCAGGCTCCCCGCTGAGCAGGGAGCCCAATGTGGGGCTCAATCCTGGAACCCCGAGATCATGACCTGAACCGAAGGCAGATGCTTAACCGACTGAGCCACCCAGGGGCCCAGTTTGTCTTTAAGTTTAGATCTACTTTTGTCCAGGTACACCCAGGTTCTTGTCTTTCCCTTAGTCATCAAGGTTCAGGTTTTCAGAGTCATCTTTATGTTGCATATTCCACATGCTTTACAGCTTTACATGTATGAAAATAACCCAGAAAATGTTTTAGTTCCTTGAAAAATGAGCTCAAGATAAAATAGCACATAACACAAGGAAATGAACCACAGGCAGAGACTTGAAGTTATTGAAGAATCTGAATGAAACTATAAACTAAATATATTTAAGCTGATCATGGAAATAGAAGTCTTTCCCTGTCAGCAGGAGAAGGGGAGAGAAGGAGGAAGCGGGGAGTGGGGGTCCCCACTGTGTCTCTGCTGTGTCACTGCTGCCTTGCTGATCTCTGAGCTGGAGTGGGGTGGGGTAGAGGTGTGAGTCTTGGAAGTGAGTGGAAGCACCTGGAGGTGGTGGTGGCTGGTAATAATGGATAAAGATAAACTCAATAATGTCAGCAGCAGCATTGATTGGCTGTTGGAAGTGAGAGTGTCAGAGCCTGGGGAGAATGTCCAACTCTATCAGAAAGAAACCAGAGGGGGCGCCTGGGTGGCTCAGTGGGTTAAGCGTCTGCCTTCGGCTCAGGTCATGATCCCAGGATCCTGGGATCGAGCTCCGCATTGGGATCCCTGCTCTGTGGGAAGCCTGCTTCTCCCTCTCCCACTCCCCCTGCT